AGTGTTCTTACACAAAGAATTTCACCCCACCGAGGTCTTTCCCCTTCCCAATTTTTTCTTCTTTTTCACCCCCCTACCCCCCCCCCCCCCCCCCCCCGCCCCTCTCCCCACAATCAACCTATCTCTTCTTCCGCCTTTCCAATTTTCTTTTCTGTCTATCCCTTTCTCCTCTCCCTTGTCTCTTCCGTTAGCCTCAAAAACAAGAATATATGTAGAAATAGAGGAATTTCTTTTGTCAAAAATAAAGTTTCAGATTTGGGATTTTAAAACATGATGGATTTTCTGGTGGCTTGATTTAGGAGATGGGATTTTGATTTTTTACTGATTTGAAGGTTCTTGTTTACTGATTTAAAGGTCTACTATACAGAGGATTGGGTTTTTGACATTATTTTCGGAAAGGAAGAAAGAGAGTAAAATGGAGGAGGGGTCGCTATGGATTTTCCGGTCGTTTTTCAGGGATCGTTCTCGCCAATAATTTTTTTTTCTTTTTCTTTTTTAGGGTCAAGATCTGAAGGTATCATACAGAGAATTTTAGAAATGGGAGATGTGTTTTGGGGGAGGGTGTAGGTTGGGGGGGGGGGGAGAAAGAGAAAAAGAAATAGAAATGGAGGAGTTTTGGGGAAGACGGGAAGGGGGTTAGTTTACTTTTTTAAAATTTTACTTTTTTTTTCATTTTATTATTTTTTTCTTCTTAGTTCAATCATTTCTTAGGCCAATTTTTTTATGCTAACGCTCGTTGTACGCGTGAATTACACGCTTGTTGTCCAACTCAGCCATAATGTTGCCACATATGATCGGTCAACGGTCAGAGGGGTTTAAAATATAAGTTTTGAGCGAGTATAAGTGTCCAATTGGCAAAATGCTAAGTTTGGGGACCGGGATGACAAAGTGGCACAAGTATAAGTGCCATTTAGGCTATTCTGCCAAATACTTATGATCAGTGGCGAAGCCAGAAATGTTTCCAAGGATGTTCAAACTTGAAAGAACTAAAAAAAAAATCTCGACAAAGTGTGTTCAATATATACTTTAATACATCTAAAATCAGCATTTTACTTATATATGCAGTGTAATTTTTTGTAATATTTCGGTAAAGTGTGATCAGTTGACCACCCTTTATAAAAGGTGGCTTCGCCCCTACTTATGACCAATAATTGCACAGAGAAGTAATACTGATATCCATTTCGGTGGAGATCCTTTGATCAGTATTGGTACTTAACCGAAATGGATGTAAGTACGAAGTGTTATTTTGGTACTTAACCATCCAATAAGGTGTGTAATACTTTGAACGTACGTAGAAAGGATAATATGGATTATATTCTATTAATCTATATGAAGGAAGTTAGTAAAAATTGTAAATTATGCTAATTTTTTTCTTCTTAATTTCATCTTCATGGCCGTTGTATTACAAAATAGGAGGCAAATGAATCCTTGTTACTTTAATTAACCCGAGAACTCAATATTTTTGACATTGAAACATAAAGAATATTACTGGAATTGTAACAAATACAATTTGAACACACAATTTCAAATATAAAATAGATATAATAGAAACTGATATCGTTAGAAGTCAAGTTGTAGTTTAAAATTTAAAGAAAGAAAATGGAGATCATGTTCCAAGTTGACACTTCAGAGGCACATGATTGCATGAACTTCTGAGTTGTGACAAGCCATTCTACAACATTTGCTTCTTTTAATTGGTCGATATTTCTTGGATAATTTAATCCGTACGCATTGAAAGATTGACTATATTCTACTAGGATTGAGATATCTATAATTAAAATAAAATAATTGTTTCTAAAAAGATCTTCCCAAAATCCCACCCCCCCCCCCCCCCAAAAAAAAAAAAAGGCTTTATAGATATCCAGGATCCAGCTTGTACAATTTGCTGGCACAGCAAACGAACACCATTTGGCTATATATGTTATTTTTTGCACATCGTTGAATGACTATCCAAGGATCAGATCAACAGCATGTCGTATCAAACATATTTAATTTTACCAACAAGACTGTAGTGGAATAAAAAATACTTTTTTATCCTTAATCAAAAGTCTCGAGTTCGAGCTTTGGGTATGCAATCGCCTCTGTAAGGAACCAGAAGCGAAGCCACATTATTTGAAGGGTGGTCAATTGACCATCATTTGTCAAAAATTTATAGACAAAATATTAGGTTTAGAGGTGCATAACAATATATTGAACACCTTTGATCGGATTTTTTTTTGACTTCTTTCAAACTTGAACACCCCTACGAAAATTTCTGGCTTCACCACTGAAGGGGATGCTTTACTCCCAATGTGAGACTTGTTAGTAAACTGTATTTGTAAACTAATTCTGGAAAAGATAAAACAACATATAAACAGAAAATGTAAACGAAACAAAAGTTAATCCGAGCCCACTGAATTCACAGTGTTTCCTTAAGCTTGTTAGTAAACTGTATTTGTAAACTAATTCTGAAAAAGATAAAACAACATATAAATAGAAAATGTAAACGAAACAAAAGTTAATCCGAGCCCACTGAATTCACAGTGTTTCCTTAAGGAATTTAATCCCCTCCTAGTACCCAAGGTTATGGATTATTTCCTCCCAGGATAGAACGAATTACACACTGGTGTAGTGGTACTTCAAACTCCAGTGTTTCAGCGAACACAAAGTTCGGTTGCAAATCACACTTACTGTTGCTTTCTTTGATGTTAAGAGTATGCAGAAGAAATGAGGAGAACTCAGAAAATCGTATGGAAAATCTGAGAGAATGGACTTGTATTTATAGCCAATGTTGGGCTGAAAACTGAAGAGGTGCAACTCTTCAGAATGGCTGTTTATGCAAAACGGCCATAACATAAATGCCATAACATAAATGGCTTATTTATGCAATAATAAACCGGGAATTGAAGAGGAAAGTTTAATTTTCAGTTACACAACTGAAAAACTGAAAATGGTTCCGTTGGATTTTAATATTAATATTAATATTCTGTTATTAAAACGAATATTTAATAACATTTCTCTTAATATTTATTATTAACAAATATATTTGGTCCAAAAAATTAATCAATCAGTCATTTGACCGAAGTCGAAGCCGAGCCGAGTGACGACGACGACGGCGCGAGGCTTGCCTTCTTCTCAACTCTTTAAGAGCTAGAAGAAGAGCAATTGCTTATATACTCATCAAAAACCTCTTCCTCTTCCTCTTCCAATATGGGACAATGTCCCTTTGTCCGGGGGTGGGGGGGGGGGGGGTAGGGGTAGGGGAGGGTACTTAAAATTTTATTTCCCTACATTTCCCATTCACCCTCTTTTAAGCTATATTAATGCTTAAAAACCTAACAAGGCTTTCCGGCGCAAATTCGAATTTAGTCGAGCCCCACTGCGGAACCGAATAATCGATGGGAAACCAAAAAAAACATATTTAATTATATTCTACCTTCCTGGTTTCACTTTCCTCTGGTTTTCTTTGGTTCTGAAAAGCTTGACTAACATTTTTTGTCTATATAGCAAAAAAATGATGGTTGCATGCTTCCAAAATTTTGAAAATAATTGTTTTGGAAAATGCTTTCAATTATTTACCAAGATTATTTTTCAACCAAATAAAAATATGTTTTTTTTTTAGTTTATTCAAAATATATATAACATCCAATTCCAAGTAAATCTTACCCTTCCCCTTGCTCCAGTTTGTTTTGCTCGTTAATTTCCTCTTTCCTTTTGCCATGCAAAAATCATCAAACATGTAATATAATATAGATATGTAAGATTGGGGTTGATCATACAGTTGGAATGCCTTTTGGCTTGTTCTAAAGACTACTCAAAAGTAGCAAAGGAGTAGCTATTTTACGTACTTATTAGATCAGTCCAGCGCATATTAAATAAATTTGAACTAAGGGAAATTTCACACTGACATAAAAGTTTCAAGAGAAATATCATATTTACCAACTTGTCATTACATTAATTAATTAATAAATGGATAGGTCATACGGACCTAACGAGTACACGGACCATGAACTAGTTTAAAGCCAACTTCTATCTAATATATAAAAAATCTGAAAAAGAATAACAGAGAATGCTACCCATATAAAAGGGAAAAGGGCCAAAAATAACTATATATGGAAAATAGAATGACTTTACATTCCGTTTGAGTTTTCATTTTATGCATAAACTAAATAATTTTTTCTTTTATTTTATGCGCAAACAAAGTGAAAATAATCTGCCTACACCAATTACCAGATTGAAGAGGAGGTAAGAAGCAGTAGTATTTCTAAAAGTTGAAGATATATTTAGGCTTAATTTTTAAATTACTCGCTGATTTATGAGTATAATCAAAGCATAGTTTAGTGATCTATATAAAACTCTAGTACTAATCTATATAAACACCACTAATATATATGAGTGATAAAAAGGAACACTTTTCACTAGACTAGAGACAGATAGTATTATATATTCTTTGCATTCATCGAAGGGATTTTTAGGCTGCGAAAACAAGGGATTCATCTGTGTTGTGAGGATTCCTAATGACTAGTTAATTATTCTAGTCGTGATTGTTATAGATGATTCGCTTCCGCAAGGAGAAACCCGTAAATCTCCTAATATATGGTTAAATACTTCAATAACATTATATCAGTCAATATTTCTTATTAAGGGTTACATATAGTTGCTCTTAAATGATATTATATGGTACAAATATTTACTAATTATTAAGTGATATTTTTAGTTGTCATTAAATGACCTGATTCAGTAAATATTTTTTCACACGGTTCGGTGAATATAAACTAAACTAAAAAATTGTATACACATGAGTACTTTATACGCAAAATGAGATGTTTTCCGAGGAATTGATGCATAGTTTTAATACATGAAAAGAGTCCAATTAGAACATAACCACATGGTGGACAAGTATTATATTGGTTAAGTTAGAACGAAATTGCCAAGAAATTAATTATAGAATCCCACATAACTTCTCTCTCTCTCTCTTCTTCCCCTATAAATTTCCCATCTTCTTTATAGTATAATCCACCTACTCTCATAATATATATTGTTCTCTATTTCTCTTACTCTTTGTACCTCCCTCTTTCCTCCTTAATTATATTGCTATTTCTTGAACAGTCAATCATGCCTGCTCAAGTGATGCCTGAGAAAACATTTGTTAGAGTTCATTCCATAGGCAAGGAAATTACTTCTCCAAGTTTTACTAGAAGGTACTCCCTCTCTCCCAATTTATACCTTTTAGTCTGTCCGGGAAAAAAATGTTTTATATTTAAAAATAATTTAAGTTTGAGCTTTTTATTTTATCCTTAATGAGATAGTTATACTACACGAATACCTATAGCTTGTTTTAGTTCATAGGTTTTAAAAATCTTTTTTCTTTTTTAAAATCTTCGCTCAATCAAATTGAATCATATAAAACGGGACGGAGAAAGTAATATAAAGCCAAGCTCCTTCTGGTTACTTTCAGTATATTCTATGCTACTTAGCTGATGCATGCTTTTGCATGAAAAGCTGTAAACACCTTATTTTTCAACTTTTGTAGCTCTTTTGAGGTTAAAAGAAGAAAGAGAAGGAAAAGAAAAAAGAAAACATTTTTTTCTACTGATCTGTCTCCAGGCTTTAGATATTCTAGTCCACATTGTCTTAGTAGCCAAGAACCAGCTAGGGTTGTCGACAACTTTATTCAAGTGTCAAAACTAAACAATGTGAAAGTTTAGAGTATCAATTTTGTATCCTATCCATGAAATGGGCACATTCTTCATCTATTAACGCGACATATTTCTATCACAAGATTTCCTATTTTATTTTTCTGTTCTCAACTCTAATATATAATTTACTTAAGACTTTTCCGAAGGTTTTATTTTGATTATTCTTCTTCCTACTTTCTTGGAAATTTTCTAACAATTTTTTATATTTGACATGTATAGGTATAGTGTGTGTGTGTATATATATATAGATAATACCTATAACTTCATTTATACAAGGTGTTCAAATTAGTCTCGAACGTTGAACCTATTAAGTTTAAATTCTAGATTTGTCGTTTGACTATTTGAGATTCCTCATTAAATAAGTTTTGTTATGTAATTATTTGTACAGGTTAGAAGGAAAGGTTGCGATTGTAACAGGTGGAGCTAGAGGGATTGGAGAGGCAACAGTGAGACTCTTTGCAAGACATGGGGCCAAAGTTGTAATTGCAGATGTAGAAGACAACCTTGGCAATACTCTATCAAATTTATTAGCTCCCTCAGTTACTTACGTACATTGTGATGTTACATCTGAAGAAGATATCAAGAATTTAATTGACTCAACAATTTCCAAATATGGACATGTCGACATCTTGTTCAACAATGCCGGAGTCCTAGGAAGTCAATCGAGCCACAAAAAGAGCATAGTTAATTTTGACCCCGACGAATTCGACCGTGTTATGTCCGTTAACGTACGAGGAGCCGCTTTGGGAATGAAGCACGCGGCCCGTGTGATGATACCACAGGGCCGTGGTTGCATCATTTCGACGTCTAGTGTGGCCGGAGTCATGGGCGGGCTCGGGCCACATGCTTATACGGCGTCTAAGCACGCGATTGTAGGGCTAACGAAGAATGCAGCGTGCGAGTTGGGACGATATGGAATTAGGGTTAATTGTATATCACCATTTGGAGTTGCAACATCAATGTTGATTAATGCATGGAATCATTGTGATGAAGATGAAGAAGAAGGGGAAATAAATGGGATGAATTTTGGAGTGCCTAGTGAAAAAGAAGTAGAGAAAATTGAAGAATTTGTGAGAAATTTGGCAGATTTAAAAGGTACAACTTTAAGAGCTAAAGATATTGCTGAGGCTGCTCTATATTTAGCAAGTGATGAATCAAGATATGTAAGTGGTCATAATCTTGTGGTAGATGGTGGGGTTACAACCTCAAGAAATTGTGTTGGTTTGTAGTTCAAAGTAATTTATTTATTTTTTTACTTTTTATTTATTTTTGGGAGTTTGGTAAGATTTGGATTCCTAACTTAACGTGAGATTAGCAAATTCATTTGGTTGATGTAATTTCTACCTTTTTCCTCCTCCAACTTGCTTGAAGAAATTGTAAGATAGTGATATTTTTTTCTTCATTTCTTCATGAAGTAAGTTATCATCGGTTGAAATTTCAAGAAAATCGTTCTAAGGTCTGGCTAATTTGCTCATCCTGAATTTTATGGCTATCTTCGAGAAATTACGGAAAATCATTTATTATTGTTGGGAAGGTAATATGATATTACTTGCTGATACAATTAATTACTGCTTTTAAATGAAAACTAAAGTGGAGCATAAAGACCGACTTCTGGATCCATTTTACAATGAGAGTACAAATACTTCATTCCACTTTGTTTGACATTATTTCTTTATTAATTCATTTAAAAAAATAATATATATTTTAATATTTATTATTAATCAGAAGCATTTATAACCACTAAATGTTATGTCATATTTAGCACTATAAGTTTTAAAAAATTTATAACTACATAAAAATTGTGGCATATTTAAGACCATAAATTCTAATTTTAATTTTTTATATATTAATCTTTGTGTCAAATCAAATTAGGGCGAACAAAATAAAGTGGGAGAGTAACAATTAATCTTTTTTTCAGCAATTCTTAGACACCAAACATTGGCATTTAGCATTAGCCTTTGAAAAATTAATAAAGGGAGACTTAGATGGAGATATATGACTTCCTTAATCTAATTCTAACGAGACAAAGGTCACACAATCTTGGAAGTAAAGCTTTGCGATTTTATTGGCTGCTATTTTAATTTAATTTCCTTATATCAGATATTCCTTTCGATCCACAATAAGTGACCAATTTACCTTTTTATTTTAGTCCAAAATAAGTGTCCATTTATATAATCAAGAAAAAATTCTATTGTTTTTCCAAAATTACCCTTATGTACGTATCCCTAAAAAGTTATTTACTCCTCACATTTGAGAAGAGAAGTAAGTGCTACTATAACTATGGTGTAATATTTAATGAAGAGTAGTTTAGTCACACTAAATATTTTCGTCTAAAATTTAGTATTTACTCAATGGGTGTGATAAAATAAATTGATCACTTATTATGGACCGGAGAGAGTATTAAGCAAGCGTTCCAAGATTAGGTTTTGACCTTTCTTTATTCTTGGGTACGAGTCAACATTTTTGAGTCAGTCCTTTGACCAGAGAGATTTATTAATTTGTCTTTGTGACTCTTTGTACAATTCAAATATTACGACTCTCGAGTCTCATTCTTAAAAAATTAAAGTACTACTACTACTACTACTATTTTAAGGTTGCTTTATTTGATGATAAGTTGTGCTTAGTCCAAATTCGCATAAGATTTTCCTTAAATAAAACAAGATTACAATTTGATAATGATGTTAATCTTCGAATGTTTTTATTTATTTATCAGTGTTTAAATAAAACAATTGTTAGATATATACGGTAGAGAGGTCAATATTATGTAAAATATTATTTTAAGACTATCTTATGAGATCTGGCTGCAGCTTATATTACACGGATCGACTTTTTATAATGAATAAAGTGTGAAAGCATGAGTACTACCGCGTGGACCAACGAGGAAAACTAAGAAAGTTTGCCGACCAAAATGGTGCTAATAACAACTAAATAATATTAGCGAAAAAAAAAAAACTAAATAATATATATTGGCATAGAAACTTTAAAGCAAACTTTAAAAGGTTGAATAATTGTATTTTAAAAATAATTTATTATACGAACTCAAGTTTTATAGCTGAAAAAAACATACTTCCTTCGATCCACTTTAATTGATTTTTTAATATTATTTTCACATATATTAATATTCCATCTTCTAACATAAATTAACAATGAAATTGTTCATATTAACCTTTACTATCTCTTTAATTTATTCATTAAAAATATAACAGATACTTCGAGACTACTCCAAGGGCAACTTTCGGGAAAAAAAAGTTAATTCCGTCTTGATATATGAAAAATCAAATATTATGGTCCACAAAAAAACTAAAAATCAATTAAAGAGAATATATTTATATATATATGTGACGACCCAAAGGGTCATCACCTGTTTTCTCTTTCATTCCATGCTTCCGAGGCCTTGAAAACCTCATTTTTACTTGCCTCGATTTGCGTGCACAGTCCGGGCGCGTAGCCGGAAAGATTATATGTTAAATTCTGTGAAAAATTTCAAAATGTGGCTTTAAAATGATTAAAGTTGACTTTGGTCAATATTTTTGGTAAACGGATCCGGACCCGTAATTGACGGTCCCGGAGGGTCCGTAGAAAAATATGGGACTCGGGCATGTGCCCGGAGTCGAATTCCGAGGTCTAGAGCCCGAGAAAAGAATTTTTCTGTGAAATTGGTTTTCTGAAATTATTAAGGAAAATGGAAATGAAAATTGATTAAAAGACTGTGGTATCGGGCTCGTATTTTGGTTCCGACATCCGGTACAAGTCTTATATATGGTTTAAGCGCTTTCTGTGAAATTTGGTCGAAATCGGACGTCATTTGACGTGTTTCGGACCTAAATATCTAAGATTTGAAGTTTATGAAGTTAGAATGAAAAATGATGATTTTGGGGTTTGATTCATTGATTTTGATATTGTTTTGGCGATTTGATCGCTCGATTAAGTTCGTATGAGGTTGTTGAGTTAGTGTGTGTGTTTGGTTAGGAGCCCCGAGGGCTCGGGAGTGATTCGGAGGTGGTTCGGGGTGTTTTAAACTTAGGAAAAAGGATCAGATTTTGCTGCAATTTTGCACAGACCTTTGCTCTTCGCGATCACGGCCTTTGGCTCGCGTTCGCACTGCTTTGTGACTTCCTTCATCGCGATCGCGATATAGTCCTCGCGTTCGCATATCATTAGTTGCCCCTGGGGGAAACCTTCCTCTTCGCGTTCGCATTAAGCATTCGCGAACGCACAACATTGCATTTTCCTTCACCGCGTTCGCGTAGAACAAATTTCAGGCCCCCAGTAATTAACTCTACGCATTCGCATTTCCCTAATCGCGAACGCGATGCATCCAGCTTTCCCTTCATCGCGAACGCGACCCCAATGTCCCGAACGCATAGAGTAAAATCTCCCAGTGATTTTTTAAAAAAACAGAACAGTACATACGGGTTTTTCTCAAAAACACTCACGAGCTCTCTTCTCTCCCAAGCTTTAGGAAGCCATTGAAGCCCCCATTCTTCAAGACCACTTGGGTAAGTAATTTCCTACTTATTTCCATCATTATCCTTCATTAATTAGTAGGTTTCCAAGCTTAAATCACATAGATTAGGGTGGAAATTGGGGGAAAAGGGTAGAGTTAGGGTTTTTTCGATTTTCTTCGATTTAGACCTCGTTTTGGGGTCGAATTTGAAAACAAATTGTATATTCGGGCTCGTGGAGGAATGGGTGACATGGAATTGGTTCGAACTTCGGGTTTTGACCAAGCGGGCCCGGAGTCAATTTTTGGAATTTTGGGAAGAAAGCTTAGAAATTCATATTTAGGCATTGGGTTTAGTTTGTTTAGCTATTATTAATATTTTAAGGTCATTATTTTATAGATTTGACTGTGTTGGAGCCGAATTCGAGGGGTAAAGCTATACTAGAGGCTTGAGTTGAGTTTGGAGCATTCAAGGTAAGTGTTTGATCTAACTTTGGCTTGAGGGAATAGGATTAGAGTATTATTTGCTAATTGCTAAATGTTGAGTACGGTGTATAGGCATAGTGACGAGTATCTATACACCGGTGTCTAGTATGACCGTGGGTCTTTATTTGTGCTTAATTGGGATTCCGTAGTGACTCTTCCTTGTTAATTGATGGTTTCTATATGATATGAAGAGAATGAGAAGGAAATATGATGTGTAAACTCTTTGGAGCGTTGGCTCGATTTTTGACTTGATTAAAAAGTAAGAAATGAATGTAAGAGAAAGAGATGTGATTATTCCCTTGCCGGGACGTGTAAGTTATTGTCGTTGCTCCCTTGCCGGGAACTAGCTGTTTACTTGTATTCTCCCTTGCCGGGATAGTTGAATTGATTCTTGTTCCCTTGCCGGGAAACCATATATATATTACGAAATGGGATCGTGTGGCACGCCGACCACTTATATATATTATGAAATGGGATCGTGTGGCATGCAGACCACTTATATATTATGAAATGGGATCGTGTGGCACGCCGACCACTTATATATTATGAAATGGGATCGTGTGGCACGCCGACCACTTATATTTGCTGAAATGGGATCGTGTGGCACGCCGACCACCTATGTACTATGAAATGGGATCGTGTGGCACTCCGACCACTTATATAGATTATGAGATCTGATGTAGTTTCGTGTTTACTTCTGATAAGTTGTTTTCATCTGTATTTCCCCTAAGCATGTCCCCTCCCCGCCTTAATTGGTATTTTATGCTGTTATTTCGTTGCACTTGTATATACATATATATATCTGCACAGGTTGTTTTTGGTAGGTCCTGTCTAGCCTCGTCACTACTTCGCCGGGGTTAGGCCAGGCACTTACCAGCACATGGGGCCGGTTGTGCTGATGCTACACTCTGTGCATCTCTTTGCACAGATCCAGGAGCAGCTTTTGGGCCTCAGCAGTAGGATTTGATCGGGAGCTGACTTCAGTCCAGGGACTTTCGAGGTAGCCTAGCTGACGTCCGCAGGCCAGAGTCCCTTCTATGTTATTAGTTTGTTTTCCTTGTACCGAGACAAACATTGATGTACTTCTATTCTGACTTGTTTTTAGCACTCTTTAGTAGTTCGTGAGTTAGTGACATCGGATCTGGGTAGAGTTGTATTTAAACTTCCGCATTTGGTTTTCAGTTATCTATGTCTTTAAGACTTCCGCTTTTATTTAAATGACTCATTTTATTTATATCGTTGAGATGTTATCAGAAAATGTTTTAATACTTGGCTTGCCTAGCTCCGACAGTAGGCGTCATCACGACTCCCGATGGTGGGAAATCCGGGTCGTGACAATATATATATATATATATATATATATATTGCATTAACACTTTTATGGGGGGTCATATTCTGTCTTGTTCAATGGTTTTTGCATGGAATCTAAAGATAGTAGAATATATTAGATTTTTCAAATTGAAGAATAATTTGATTTTCGAAACATTAAATGAAGCATTATGAGATTCCGCAAAGAAAATTTTAATATCGTTAGCCCATTCAAGAAGCCTAACAGCTCTTCCCCACGCGGGAAGAGATGGAAATATTAAATTAAAAAATATGCTTTAAACTTGAACCACAAGATGAAATATTAAAAAGAAGGATATATATATACACACATATATATATTGTGTATGCTGTTTATTTCTTTTATTTTTTTGCTTTATCTATTTATTTATTTATTTTGCAAAAGGGGAGGGTTTCTTTTTGGTGGTTCATTCCGATCGATGATTGCAGCTCAATATTTTAGACAAGGTCTAACTACATTTTATTCTATAGATAACGATACCATTTTCAATATTCTCTTTAATATCTTATAGAATCTTACTAACCTGCTATTCCTTCAATTTGTTTTTCTTAGCCCTCATCTTTGATCTTGGAGAAAATTCTCTTTTTATTTTCTTGCATAATTGATCACAAACACTTCTGTGGTTTTGCTTTTCTTAAAATTAAGAGAGCCGAGAACTAAATCTCGAACTCAAGTTTAGCAAATTTTGTTTAATCTTTCAATGTGTTACGTCGGTAGCCACTCTAAACGGCTGCTATTTAGGAATTAGTCAGTGCGTCCTGAATCTTAGTTTTTCAGTTCAAATATTCAGGACAAAAATATACTAAATTCTTCTGAAGTCAAGATTTTTAGTTTTAAAATTCATGACAAAATAAGTACTGGCTAATCTCTAAATAGCATCCCTGTGAATGGCTATCCGTCCACTTACCCCCTCATAAGTTGCACTCATATGTGTTCACTAAATTTCTAACTTACTTCCATGTCTTAAGTTGCACAAATATATGTTTGAAGGTGTGAATGCTTAAATCTTATGCTTAAAGATGCTGGGGTTGTTCAGGAATGTAAAGGAATAGTTGGAGTTGATATGGAAATGATAATGGACAGATGTCCAAACTGACACATAGCCTACATTCAAAGATGCACAACTATTATGTAGAAAGAATTCGACTACGATTTTTGAAGGAAATTGTAACCCTTGAAGCCTAGTGGAAATGAAAAAAAAATAGATGATTAAGCCACATTGAGACGGGAAACAAACATTACACGGGAAAATGACATTGTATATCCGCTCTCAAAATAATAGCCGAATGACATTGTATAACCACTCTCAAAATAATAGCCGAAAAATGTATATTTTTTGTATGTATATACATTCGGTATGTTATATACAAAAATTATACAAATTTTATACACTTTTTCGGCTATAGAATGTAAATAGTTTCTGGCGCGGGCTAAAAGTGAAGAAAGCCAAAATAAAAACAAGACGATTACACAGTGGAAATATTAAACAACCATCAGTTTATTAGAAGAACAAGAGGGGAGATCTGCATTTGGTGTAGTTCAACAAATACACTTGGTAGGACAACACAATCCTGGAAAGTTCCCCTTCACTACATTTTACAAACAGCCTTGAATTGGCATACTTCCAAAGCATGGGAAAAAAATGGATGGATGGAAAACAGATACAAAGAAGGAAATAAAGCCATGCACACCCTGAACTCTTCACATGGATCTCTCCGATGCCAGATCAAGTAACGTGCGAAAGAACTGCTGTGGATACATGGGAGGTTGCTCTGCAAGTGCCTAATTACAATAAACACCATAATAACAATGGTTAAAGCTTAGGGCATTTTTCAGCAGATTTAGGGGTTCCACCATCTCTTCAGAAGTGAACTTGCATGTAATATTTGCATTGCTCACTAAGTTTAAATCTCTATAGAGTTCTTTAGTTTAAATAGAATAGACTTATGTTCCAAATTGCAAAACTATGTAATTGTTGAAGAAGCAGCAAATACGTCACCTGATGAATCAAGACTGTGGAAGGAGTCATTCCAGGAACTGTATTCACTTCTATAATCAACACCTGTAACCACAGATCAATGACAACTCCAATTAAATCTCATAATGGATCTGCAAATTGTTATCTGCATATCCCTTTCCTAATTTCACCTTTAGTTTTGATTTGCCGTAGAAAACGTTCAATCAATTGTATGAAATGTAAGTGTTGCAGTTCGCAGAAATCCGTTTTCAGATTTTGATTCCTCAAGTTCTACTCGGGAACACTGAATTAATTGACACAGAATATTGCCTCTAAAATGCTCAGTTTGGCCCCAATTCAACCTCAAACGAGCAAAGTGGGACAGGATATTCAACCACTCAAATATAAACTTATCGGCTGCAAAACAAATTGGTTCTAAGGCCACATAGAAAAGAGACCTACAAACACCCTGAATACTTTGAAATGTTTAGTGTGCTCCAGCTTTCTAAATCACATAACAAACTCTTCACCATGGTTTTCTGTGCACTCATAGAATTAAACATAACAAGTACTCCTATGTCACAATATCTTGAGAGGCACATAATGAACTGAAACTTGCTGGAAAAGAGACCATTCCTTAATGACATTATAAAGTATTAAATTCACTTCCATAACTGTTCAATCAAGTCGAAAAATCTCCACAGTAACATACCTCACCAGTGTCAGCATGAACAAATGCATCAATACGTGAAAATCCTTCTAATTGTAGAGTGTTTGCAATAAGTTCAATATGCTTTTTACACCTTTCCAAGGCGGGATTACTGATTGAGAAGGCAAAAAAAGGTATGTGAGAAATATGTAGGTAATTTTGAGACCCAGAAAAGTATATCTTGCAAAAAACAATTTCTGGCTTGGTAAAGAACTACTTTAAGGTAGAAATAAATAATCTTCGTGACAAACCTCATAATAGATGGTGGCGGTGGAGTCAGATTGATGCCAGTTCCACCTGCAGACACATGAATTTGATAAGGTACAAGGTGTGCCCTAAAACTTAAATAGACAGAACCATGTAATTTCTTAGTCATCATTTGACAGGAAAGAATCCACAGTATCCCAAGAAAATGCTTATTAGTTAATGGTTTCAACTAAAATCACTAAGCTCTACTCAACGAACCTATGACAAGGAAAAAACGATATAACTAGATGATAGGGTCAAGACCATCTACCTGCTGTGTTTTCTTTTATCTTTTGCTACAAGTACAGAATTGTGGTTACATCTTGCAACAGGCATATCCAAATAACCAGAAGCGATAGAATGTCCTACACTAGAAAATGTGATATCAATGAAGAGATACCTTGGAATTTCTCCTCCAGTGATAATATGCCTCCAGATTCTTTCACAGTTACACTAGGAGTCAATGAACGCATTGATCCACGTTTTCCTACAACACCAACGGTGACCTCTACCCATCTACTATCCCCTTTCCAGAGCAAATTGTGTGCAATCTCGTTTCTGGATTTAGATGCAACAACTATCTCATCAGTCTCAACAAAAGGTTCGAATATTACAAGCTCTGGAGGAGGGTTTGGCATCTCAATCATTCCATGTTCCTGTATAAGATACCAAGAAAAACATATTATACAATATAATCTTAGGGATCCTTATAATCATATGATCCGGTGTTCAAAGCTAAAAGTCTTACAGATTGGTAATTGCTGAGAAATAAATTACATTATAAAAGCCAAAAATAGAGCCAATCAAGCAATAAAGATTTCACATGAGAAGAATAACCAGTAGCGGGAGAAGTTCACAGAACAGCTGGAAAACTAAAAAGCTAGAAAATTGAAAAGCAGAAATATAGTGACAGAATTGACAGCTATAGCAAGACAGGACTAATTTCTTGACCTTTGATAAAAAAGTTTAGTTTGTAGTTCGAGTAACTTGATTAAGAGCCTTTTGCACTGTTTTGAGTCTCCTTGAAGACAGTAGTTTATGGAAAACTTAGAGCCATATATGTGTGTCAGGTCTAAAATCTCATCATACATTGAGCAACAGGATGTAACTGCTCAAAGTTTATCTATGTTCTACTTTATGAGTTTACCGTCAAAAGTTGTAATTGTCATCCAAACAACTTGTAATACTCATCCAGCAAATACACCTAATTCCTTGTCTGAATCGTCAGCACCATGATGACATGTTTTATTTCCAACAAGCCAAGTACAGAATTTATGATCACAGCAGCAGATTGTCTCGAATTACTTTACCTTATAAGGCGGTTCAGCTACAAATATGATATTTTTCCATTTTGTCTGAAATGGAAAACCGTCTACATGCTTACACAATACATGCTGAAATTAAAATTTTTGTGGAGTCACGCAAGTATATATCTTTTTTTAACTTTGCAACTACAGGCCTATACTGACTATGCTTTGTGTTTACCTACCTCAATACCAATCTCTTAAGCATGTTCTCTTTTTATGATACTTACAGCTTCTGGTATTAATTATATCATGAAAGGACTACTTCCAGAAATGATTCAGGTAAAAGAGAAAGCATCACATGGCTAACCTGTGGTCTATCAGCTAAAAAAAAATGAAAGCAAGCACAGTCCTATCGAACACACTGATGAACTGAAGGACTCTGATTACAATGCTTTGGAGAAAATAAAATACTGCCGGTGACAAAAGCTTTGTAGATGAGGAGCAGTAACAGAGAAGTCCACACATACCTTTGACAGGCTGTTAGGAGGAATACGAGGGAGGCAATCCTGAAGTGCGTTTATGTAAAAGGCAAGGTCCCCCTCACAGCTGCATAAGGCAGAGTATTATTTAGTAAGAAGCATTTTCTTAGATTTGCATCTAATATGATTTAGGTGTAACAGAATTGAAGAGGAACAAAAGATTACCACAATCTGGCCACACCAGTTGAGCAACCATCTCTGGCTGGTTTAACACATAAAGTGTCACAGTTAAGTTTTGACTTCAAGTCACGCCAGAGATCAGATATGGACATTTTCAGCAGATCGTCTTTCTTCCTCACATCTTTATTTATTGTAAGGACTCCAAAGTCTGTCAGCTGTCCAGAGAAAGAGTTTTTATGCTTGTCAAGGGATAGACATTAATAGGTGTTCAAGCAAAATCAGTTTGTGGACTACACTGGTACATGCGGATGAAGCCCATGTGGAAGAAGTTTAAAATTAGAGATATCGAATTAATTAGAAAATAACTCGAGCATGAAGCCTAGCCAAAGTGGTGAGGCCCTTGGTTTAAAGTCTTGGTTTCAACCCTCCTTCATGAAGTGTGGGTAACTTTTGTTGAAGACATAATTAAGTAAAAAAAAATGTACCCTCTCTAATAGCTGAAGCTTTTAGATGAGATGGTCACATACTTCAACATGGTATCAGAGCAGGCAGAGGTCCTGGGTTCGAGTCTCACCGTCACCCAATATCAAAAAAAATTTCCATGTACTTGGCTCATCAAAAAGAATCAAGCCCACATGTGAGGGAGCATGTTGAGACATAATTAATTAAATAAAAGTGTACTCTCTCTAACGGCTTAAGCTTTTAGATGAGATGGTCACATACTTCAATAACCTTCTTATGTATGTTGCAGCTGGGATTTAATAGTGGTAAACTGGCATTTATTTACTACTTCGTAACAGTTCAATTGTGTATATCTCAATTATAGAAGCTCAGTCTTTCACTAAATACAGGACAACTTGAGCTTGAGTAGCAAATCAGTCAACTGATCCATGAATTAAACAAATATCATTGGAGTCCAGCTTTTATGGATGTAGCCTAAGCACCTGTTGCTCTGAATCTTTCTAAACTAATCAAAACATGGTTGAGGCAAAAGTGCTCTCATGCAAGTTCAATTGCTTTAAGTACATCATACCCAAAACAAACTTTTATCTGAACAGCAATGTTCATCTCTAGAAACAGCTTAAGTGAAATACTTGTGCAGGGTAATAAAAAGGGAGAAAGTAATATCAATATGCATAGGCATAAGATGTTCTGTTGCTTAATGTTATCTTGACTGTGGCCAACGACATGCTTGTTTTGTAGCTAATAATGCAACATTAGCTGAGCTCTTCTAAATCACAATAGCATAATTGGACGATGACCTGACTGATATTTGATTCCATCCACTGGACAAAATGCAAGGGTGAAGAAAGAAATGATACTTTCTCGGTTAAAATGTGAACATTGATTTGCCAACTCACATGTTTTAGAGCAAGAGAGGTTGCAACTTTGTCCATACATGTTTTTGAAGCCATGACGCCAGGACCTTCCATTGTAAGAATGTCAAAAGAACAGCTATAGATTAGTGATTACAAGTTGGATTGCACTCCTTTCTTTCAAATGTAACATCCAATACAGACCTGTATAGGGAACCCCTTCGGCCTCTAGTAAAGATTGAAGTGTGCCATCTTCTCCAATGCCTCCATGCACTGTCAATTGGAACACGATGGCATCATTACTTCCAGAAATTAAAAGATAACATCTAATGAAAGTTGATAGTGTTATAGGATGGAAAATAACCTATTCTTTTCTCACGGGGATGAATATATAGCTGAACTATACGCCACTTTATTTTATCTACTTATTTCATAGCATATTACTGAAGCAAACATAAATATGTAAAAGAAGTAGCACATACTAAGGCAGTTTTAACAGTTGCCAAAAAGGTATAATCATGTACTCATCTACTGACCTGCAATGAAAACAGTCGCCAGAGATTCCTTAGCCAGCTTCACCCACTGCTCTAGAGAAAATTTCTTCGGTAGTTCATCAGATATATCAAACCCGTTGAACCAACTGAGCTTTCTAAGACCTCTCGTGAGATCATCCATAACCTGGTTTCGCAAGTGAGATGTCAGAGCTGCCCGATTGGGTTCAATTGCCTCTACACACGCATCAAGGACTTCTTCTGTAGTATGTCTCAGCAAAAGGGAATAACTGTACACCAAGAAAAAGGGTTTGACTTGCACTAAGATAATATTCAAGACTAGGAGGATGAAAACCTGACATCCTCCTCAGGTTGCCATAGCACAAACTAAGTTGGATTCTAGTTCAAAGAAGTTTAGCTGACAGTTGCGACCAGAAAAGTAAAAAGGATGAGTAAAGTAGGCCATAAGATACGCAATCCACTTGTAGTCTACTGCAATAGCAAATACACTTACGGCAATGTCCATACTGTCTTAGACTTCTTATCTACTTCACGTTTAGCGAAGTCTGAAACATCAGAATAGCTCGTTGCAGGGGCAAGCAAGCACGGCGTCACTTCAAGCTGCAAACAGCAAAATTGCCACATCATAGTATTGCCAGGATAAACTTGTGAACATCTGAAAAAAAGATCACAAATTAAACTGCTAAAGAAGTGAGAGACAGCAACATTCGACGAACAAGAACACAAGGAAGTTGTACTCTAGTACTAACTGTTACCAAAGGCAAGAGATCTTTTCCATCATTTCCTTCTAACTAAACACATCTGATCTTTGTTATAGTACCATGTATAAAATGATGGCAACCAATTTACAACAACAACAACCAACCGGGTGTAATCCCACTAGTGGGGTAAAGTTTAGTGTTGAGAGTGGGATTTGAACCCACGCCCTTTTGGACCAGAACCTTAATCTCGCACCTTAGACCAACTCGGCCATCTCAACCCTTGATGGCAACCAATTTACCATATGGATTTCCTCTGGGGGGAACAGATAAAACTCCCGGCATAGACAGGACAGGCACCATGGACAGGTGAAACATTAACAGAATTTTATAATAAAACCGATGTTATGTCACTATCTGCTGACACCTACACCTGAATTAATAACTAAGAACCCTCTTTCCCGTGCCTGCATAAAACACCAGCTGTAGACCAAAAAAAAAAGAGACTTGGACAAAAGAAATGAAGTGCCTTAGCCACATCTTTTTTCAATAACCTCAGACCACTCGAATATTGATTCATACATTCAGTTGAACACAACTTGAAAACAGCAGGGATCATCAGAACTCCAACCAACCAATGTAAAGACAGTTTCAAGTGATGGTAAGCTAGAAGACAATTGGACATGATTTTGAATGTAAATTTCTAGCACTTAGTTTCCCCCAAGCCTACAAATTAAATCAAGATGGCAGCGTTGGGAATTTCAGCAACACTGGAGCAAGAGGACTGATCCAAACATAGTAAAGAAAGCCATGAATTAAGGGTAATGGAAATGATCAACTCACAATTCATTAACTGAAATAAGACAATTTCTAAAGCTTCTGGTAGTGTCATTTGCCTCTATAAAGTTAGCCATTCAGCAATCAATAATACTAAACAAACTGAAGAATCAGTCCCTGAGGCAACAAGCGAGGGTTGCTCGAGAAAAAAGTGGGAAACCCCGCATTCCCTT